ACACACACACACACACACACACACACACACACACACACACACACACAGAAAAACAAAACACACACGCACACAGGGAACACGCCCCCACCGCCACACACACACACACACACACTCACACAAATACAATCTTTTGTATGGACTAAGATCCCTGGCTCTGTGCACTGACCTGGAACTGACTTCTATACACAACAACCAGCAGAGTGAGAGCGATGACCCTCTGTGTGTGTGTGTGTGTGTGTGAGTCTGTGTGAATACACCATTATGTTTGTAAGTGTGCACGTGAGCCCTTTGCTGAGTGTGTACGTACAGTTGTCTTTCATGTATAAATGTGTGTGTGTGTGTGAGGGAATGCATGCATGATTATCTGTGCATGTGTGTGTGTGTGGGTCAGTTGGTTTTGCCCCGGTCACGGCTGACGGCTTTGGAGGAATGTCCATTACACACACAGTACAGTTGTCTGCAAGCTATAAAGAAAACAAGACAGGGGGGGGAGGGAGGGAGGGGGGGAGTTGTTGAGTTTGAAATTTAATTTAAAGCAGGATGAAAGGAAAGATGGAAGGACGGATGAGGGAGGTGTGGAGCACAGACAGAGCGTGTTGTGTTCAGGTGAAACACGGGAGTTCCTCATAGAACTGCAGGTCAGAAGTTACAAAGTTCAACACGAAGATTCATCTCCACGAGTTTTTACTTTCATTTATTTATTCCTCTAAAGTCTTTTTTGTGCACATTTTAAAAACACATTCTAACAAAAGGAAAGAAGTTACATAATGTAACTGTAGTGAGAATGTTTCAGTTTGATGCATTGATGTTTTTATTAATATATTGATGTTGATTATTCTTATTTATTGTAGCTTTTTTTGTAAATAAAAAATACTGTAAACAACACGGCGAAGGCTAAAACGCCCTCGAGGCTTCAAAACATCCACAAACCAACGGGTGACGTCACGACGACTACGTTTTATTACTTTATTACGCAGTTGTGATTCTAAAAGAGCTATTTCAGATTTAAACGCCACCTGACCATCGATCCTAAAGCGAAACCAAACTCCTCCTGAATCCAGCAGTACGTGTTTACATTAATAATCTGCTTCACATGTACATCCACGAGGAGAGGCTGCAGAGAGAGGGGAGGGAGAGAGAAAGAGGTCCAGTCAGAGAGCCCGAGGCAGAGTGACCAGACGTATTGTCTGCTGTCCTGCTGAGAGAGGAGAGGAGGAAAGAAGAGGAGAGACGTGAGGGAGGAAAGGAGGCCAAAAGAGAGGAGGAGCAGAAGGAGTTAGCTTCTAGAAAACAGAATCAATCGGATGCAACTAATAATAACATTTTTAAAAAGCACTTTGATTATGAGATACGTGTCGTTTATTAATCAGGTTTTCCACTACAGCAGAGGATGTAAACAAAGAGAATGAGTAAAAACAAGAGGAAGACGGAGGGTAAAAACCGAGGGAAGTAAAGAAGTAGGATTCATGTGAAAGGAAGAAGAAAGAGGAAACAAAGGTGGAGGAGACGAGAGGATATAAAGATGGAGAGGTGGGTGAGGAGGAGGAGAGAGAGAGTAAATGGGAAAACAGTCCAAAAGAAGAACAAGTGACATGAAGAAGTGGGACAAATGAAGGCAAAGAGGTCAAACAGATGAACAAGAGGGAAGGAAGTAGGAAAGTGAGGATAGATGGAGAGAAAGAAAAATTAAAAGTTATGATTCATGACATTTTTTAAACATAAAGTGAGACGAGCAGCTCTTCTGTAGAGTTATTGTTTGAACTGATTTACTAAATCATACGAAATAAAAAAGGAAAGTTGCAACTAAAGACGTCTCCATATCTGCTAAAGTAGATACATGTTTTATGTATGTATGTATGTATGTATGTGCTGCAATAAACTGTTCAAACAATGCAAATTAAAGCATTAATAATAATTATTAATGATTAATAATTATTATTTAATTATGTTTTAACAGTAAAACACTATTAGAGTTTAACTACTAGTAAATGAGTTTATAATTCATTAATGATGCTTCTTATGAAGCGTAACCAATACTTCAGGGTTGAACAAACAGAACCAGGAACGGGGATTTTAACATTTCTATTTTGTTCTGAAGAAGCTGAAATTAAATTAAATTCAGAAGAGAAACAGAAAAATCACGAGATGAGACAGAAGAGGGATTAATAATGGAGAATGGAGCCCCACTGTGGGGTCAGACATCGATTACTGAAGAACACCTTGACACACTCACTCACAGAGATGCATATACAGATACAGGAAACAGGGCTACACACACACACACACACTCATACACACACACAAGTGGACATACACACTCATACACACACACACACACACACACACACACTCGGACAGAGAGTCCGAACGCCCGCTTCGCCTCGATGAAACTAGAAGACAATCAATAGTGAGGGCAGAACCACAATACTGTTCTCCATCATGACTATGAAACACACACACACACACACACACACTCACTCACACACACACTCACTCAGATCGATGGCTGTCCGCTGTGTCCACGGTTACCGAGCATCGACCCCCGCCGCTAATGGCGACCAAGGAACCTTGGGAATTAGTGTGTGATTGATTGACAGACTGCTTCAAAGACACACGCATGTGTGCGTGTGTGTGTGTGTGTGCTTCAGTGGTCCCCTGTGGGTTGTCCATACGTTGTTTACCCATCTCTTTTTCCTTCCCGTGCATCCTAATGTTTTTCCGAAGGATGAAAGAGAGAGAGAGAAGAGGAGGCGGAGACAGACAGAAGGAATGGAAATAGGAAGTGTGGACAGAGAGGATTATGACAGAAGAGAAGTGAATCGTCAGCGTAACGTGACATACCAAATCGACTCGTCGGAAAAATCGAGCGAAAGTCAAGGTTGGTTTAATTCAAGACTTTTAAACAAAGATTTGTCCGTATTTCTTATCACTTTGTCCTTCATGTAGAAGTCCAAACTTCTCTGTAACTGAACCACTGATCAGATAATCTCTTTGCTCTTCTTTGCATGTAAAACCGTATTCTTGGCCTGTTTACATCGCTTGTACTCATCATAGCGTTGAATGGATCGCCATGGAACTTGGTACAGTTGCCCGTGATGCCTGCAGGAAGAATCCTTACGACTTTGGTGATCCTCTGACTTTTCTCTCTAGCGCCACCAGCAGGTCAACAATGGTCATTTATCCAGTGAAATATCTACATCTACAGAACGGATCGGTACAAATTTCGGTCCAGACGTTAATGCTTCCGAAGGGATGAATCCTAATGTATTTTGTGTGAGAAGAAGAGATAGAAACAATGAACTGACAAGATTTGTTTGTGTCCCTAAAGTCTTGGCAAAAACATGTTTTTGCACTATGCAGCCTGGGTGCGAAATAATGTGTTAAAAACCCCACGCCGCCACTTTGGCCTCACAGGTCTCTCATGTAAAACAGATAAATGTATTTACTAGAGACTTCCTGATTAAACAAAAGTTAAAACAGTGCAGAAACTTCCACAGAAAAGGAGAACATCAGAAACTAGAATAACCGCCTCGCGGTCGTATTATTCCGCCACTCAGTCAAGCTGCGGTTAACAACCATGTCTGTTGGAAATGTCACCACTTGGTCGTCTTTAATTATTTGTGTGAAATTGTCAGGATTGACATTAATGAATGACCTTTCACCACCAAATTATAATCACTTCATCCTGAAGCCCAAGTGGAAGTTAGTGAAACATTTGAAGAAATTCCCTCCAGGAGTTGGTGAGATATCCCGTTCACGAGAAAGCACCGGACAGACCGAAAAAATAATGAGTCATGATTTGTGGTGTATTACGTTCGAAAGTCAGGAATTTATAAAATATAACATACTGAATATGTTGATGGCGGTTGAAGTTATAAATGTTGAAACGTTTGACTTCAGGTTTTTCAAAATAAAAGCTAAATTGTTTGAGAGAGTTTGACAATTGACAACGATTGCTGAACTTGAAGTCTCTAAGTGAGTTCTTCATTTTGACCGAACACAACTTCCTGGTCTCTGGGTAGGAGACCAGGACTGTGTCCTACATAGCAACATGTTAGTCATTAACGCCCCACCCACCACGAAGGAAGCGAACCGTCTCCTCCTCCTCTAAGGCCTTTTTCAGTAAAAGCATGCACTACATGGCGATATTCTAAATGAGATCTGACAGTGTCCTTCCCCAGCACAGTGCGTCAGGATGGTCTTTAATAGCTTTGAGTTTGCTGGTGGAGGCTGTTGGGTGATCTTCAAGAGTCCTAAACCCCCCCCCCCTCCCCGAGCTCGCGTGAAACCCACCCCATTTGGCCGTAGTTATAAATATTTAATCCACTGCACCTACATCTCTGACGAAGTGCTCCGAACGCGCTCTCAGAGACGGAGTGACACTTTGAATAAAACAAACAGGAAAACAGAGAAATTGCTCTTTGTGTTCTGAATTTAGAAACACACTGTTCTGTGTTTTTCTGTTTTTTTCTCCCCCTTTCTTCCTGCGAGCACTCGGAGTGCCAATTTACAAATGCAGTCGATTGCTCTTGTGCTGAGTCAAATAGATTTCAGCTCCGCACTCTGGCACTT